GTGTGTGTGTGTGTGTGTGTGTGTGTGTGTGTGTGTGTGTGTGTGTGTGTGTGTTCAGGGTGTGATCTGGACCGCCTGGAAAGGAAAAGACTTTTCTGTCCCGTTCACTGAGATGAAGCTGAGACCGGCAGCCTTCAGGCCTCCGTCCCGAGGATGAGCGAGAGAGAGGCTGATGATGATGATGATGATGAACTGCTAAACACACATGCTCAGTGTGTTACATGTGTGAACGCACACATTGAAACGGGGAGCTCGGGCTCCTGTTAGAAGATTTGTATAGAGTCAGTTATCAGTATGTTACTGCAGATTGTACAGGTTCCTCCTTTTCGCCAGTATTTTAAAGCGGGGCGTCTTCCTCCATATTTAAAGGCTCAGTTCACACAAATTATATCACGGCTGGGTCCAGTTAGACAGTTCTGGTTTCACATGCAGATGCTCTGAGAGATCAGAAGTCTCAAACTAGAGGCCCTCGTGGCTCCTGATCCAAAGCAGACTGTGAGGCTTTCAGACCAAATAAAAGTCACACAAGATAAAAAAAACAACTCAAAACCCTCTTAGAAAGATTACTGGTACCAGTGAGTGCTCGGCTCAGTCAGATCTGATGGATATGAGCGACACACAGGCCAGAAACGCAGCCCACACGTCACTCCCTGGTTTTTCCATCACTGTGTGCCTCAAATTTGAAAAATAAATAAGAACAAAAACATTTTCAAGGACAAAATGATCCAAAAAACATTTTAGTGTTTCAGATCAGATCACAGTGAAATGTAATCAGGCACAGGTCCTGCTTAGAAGCTCGTTTAGCAGCAGCCCCACTTTAAAGCTCAGCAGCGCCCCCCGGTGTTCACTCTCTGAGGGTCCTCAGGTGCACTGTGGCCCCGCAGTAAATGGAGACGGGTCTGTGCTCTGTCGCCTTCTCGTTGTGTTAACAAATCTGTTTTATTCCCTGTGTTCTGTATGAAGCCTCCCAATGACTTCAATAATAAAACAAGTGAAACTAAACAGCTGCACGGGTTCATCTGTTGGAGTCAAGGTTGCATTGTGACTAAACACTCTCTGTTTGCAGGATATGAATGAAATCATTCTTTCTTTTGTTTAATCTTTAAAATGTTGAATATATTAACAAACAGCGTGTCAGTGCAGTTTGAGCAGTGTCGTTTACTCAAAGTTATTCTCTCTGTGATGCACACAAGGTGTCACTGAGCAAATGTCACAGAAACTGCACCTGGATCAGCAGGAGGAAGAGGAGGAAGAGGAGTATCAGCAGTGTTGGAAAGGTTACTATGAAAATGTATTCCACTACAGATTACAGATTACATGCCCCAAAATGTATTCTGTAACGTATTTCGTTACGTTACTCAATGAGAGTAACTATTCTGAATACTTTGGATTACTTAATATATGATCTGTTAGCTGTTTACAGCTACATGAATGTGATTTATTACTATTACTGAAGGCTACTCTCCACACCAACACCAGCAGATCAAATTAATATAAATGGTAAATGGCCTGTATTTATATAGCGCTTTACTAGTCCCTAAGGACCCCAAAGCCTTTACATATCCAGTCATCCACCCATTCACACACTGGTGATGGCAGCTACATTGTAGCCACAGCCACCCTGGGGCGCACTGACAGAGGCGAGGCTGCCGGACACTGGCGCCACCGGGCCCTCTGACCACCACCAGTAGGCAACGGGTGAAGTGTCTTGCCCAAGGACACAACGAACGAGACTGTCCAAGCCGGGGCCGAACCGCAACCTTCCGATTACAAGGTGAACTCCCAACTCTTGAGCCACGATCGCCCCCCATATAAATGAGTAACAGTAGGTGGACATTAGGTAGGCTGCACTTTTTGCAGCGATCTCGTTAGAAACTATTCGGTGCGTATATAAAACAGGTCCGCGGCTCCGAACCGTAGTAAAGGGACCTCTGGCTGATACGTCGGGTTCGTGTCGGGCTTGTAGCTGAAAACTAGCTTTACTTTGTTGTCTGGGTCAACTTTGCTTGCGAGAGACAGAGAGAGGCGTTGAAAGGCTGCTCCAACGGAGCTTATTGTTTCAGAGGAAAAAAAATACGTATGTATGCATGCATGCGCACTGTTATCTCCACTGTAGACCACTCCACACAAACTGATATCAGCTGGTTGTTGCTCAAGTGTGCAGAAAGAAAAAAAAGTATGTAACAGCAGGTAACACTGTGACATTAGTGACATATGTCAGTACAGTAACTGTGCATTGTAACTTATTATTACCACGTTATACCCAACCGTGAACATGAATTCTGTCCAAATGTTGCTAAATGTTGAGCTAACACTAGCTTGATGATATGAATGATGGCCTCAGGTCACCTCACCGCCTGTGTCCCATAAATGTTGTGTGTTGTTCACATTCTGGTGAAAGGTTCGGTGACTTTAGAAGCTTGATCTCTTTGTTAGCAACAAGTACACCCAATAAAATCACCCTTTCATAAGCCTTAGACCGTTCACGTGATGGAGCCCTGTGATTGTAGGGCAGTCTAAGATAAGCGTACGCTCATGTTTAGGACATGAATGATTCTTTCAACTGTGGAGAAAATGTCTCGTGTTTGTTGCCAGTTGAGTCCATGTTCAGCTGAAGCATTGAGGGAAAAGGTGTCTTTCTTCACCTCAGCTCCCAGATGTGCTTTTAAAAACCTTTTGTTTTTTAATTGGTCCCCAGGGTGCAGCTCCCACCCTCCCACCCTTCTGCTCACCAGGAAACCAATCACAGTGGATCTCACCTGTCCTCTGAGCCTGCTTGTTTACAGGTGTGTGTCCGGGGCGTCACTGGGGACAGACCAGTGATCAGAGGCGGGCAAAGCGATTGGCTGAGAATGAGGTGGAGGCAGGTCTCATGTGAAGGGAAACCAGTCCCAAAACCACGAGACAGGTGGCTGCAGAGACACCTGGAGGGCTGAGGGCGCTCAGGTGGTCCACTGCCTGGAGGAAGAGGCTGAGACTGAGGAGGGTTTTTGTTCAAGCAGAGCGGCGTTTGTGACTTCAGCAGAACGAACCTGGTCCTTCTTCTTAAAGGGTTTGGAGAGGGTTCGCACAGAGCACGCTCAGTGGAAAACCAACCAGAAGCTTCTGAACAGCACAGGTAAGCTCGCTCCATCTCCTCCATCCACCTGCATCGCAAATAAGAGCTGCAGTAATGTTCGCATTTCCACCACTTTCTCATTGAATTCATATCTTCTATTGTCCTGTTGGTAACAAAAACTGTAAATGATGATGACATAAAGAACCCAAAGGACAAAATGAAGCCTTAAAAACATGTGATACATTTTTCAAAGAGACGTAAGGATGAGTAGAAACGAATAGAAACGGCTGACTCGATGTTTGGGACTCTGCTTGTTGGTCGCGACCTTCACTGAGGTTTTCATCGCTCTGATGACGCCTCCTCTGCTTCTCAGTCATGATGTCGCCAGATGACCGAGCCCTCGACGACCTGTTGTACGGCAGTGACCTTGGTGACGAGGTGGAGGGGGCGGAGCTGGGCGGCGGCGCAGAGGAGAGCGCTGCTGCAAATAACGTGAATATTAAATCTAATTATTATTATATAATTATATTATATATTATATATATTATATATAATTATATAAAAATAATATAATAGTAATATTTATTAGTATTATTATTGTATTATTATATTTTTATTCTTGTTTTATACAACATTAGTTTTTATATTTTACTTGTACTCGACTGTCATGTTGTTGCTGACGGCCGATCAGTCAAAAGTTATGATTTCCTTTTGCACACATGCTCTGATTTCACTCATCTAACAGCTGTTTTCTGGATAAAAACCAAAACACAGCATCTGTACTGCTCTGGTTCATTTAAAATAACATTAATCAGTGAATAAAGAACATTTTGTTGCTGAATCTGATACAAAAACAGTCATAATCTGCTTACAGTTAAAAGCAGTTGGGAGAATATTCAGGTGTTTGTCGGCCTCCTGCTCAGTAACTGTGCAATCACATTTTCTCTGATCCAGATGTGACATCACTGTTATCAGTAAATGTTCACTGACATTGAATCCGTCTGTCAGGCTCAGGCTCCAACAGCTGTGTCCATCCAGGAGCCAGTGACGTGTGCCGGATGTGGCGAGCAGCTGCTCGACCGCTTCTTCCTGTTGGCTGCGGGGCGGGTGTGGCACAACCCCTGTCTGCGCTGCAGCCAGTGTCAGTGCGAGCTGCAGACGCACCCGTCGCTGTACTGGAGGGACGGAAACATCTACTGCCAGCAGGACTACTGCAGGTCTGCGAGGTCTCGCCTTCCTTTGCTTCCTGTTTTTCACCTTTCTGACTCTGGTGTGCTTTCTCCTCCCGCTCAGGATGTTTGGAGGCGGTCAGTGTGCTCGCTGCTTCCAGCCAATCCCAGCTTCTGATTTGGTCATGAGGTCTGGTGAGCTGACTTTCCATCCTCACTGCTTCTCCTGCCAGGTCAGCCTCCACGCTTCGTCTTATTATTTTCAGGTTAAAGAGCTCTGAATAGATGCAGACGGTCTGTCCGATGTGTTGCAGGAGTGTGACGTGAAATTAATGCCGGGGAACTTGTACTGCATGCAGGGCGCCAACCTCTACTGTCAGTCTCACTATCAGAGTGACGGGGGCGTGCAGCCCCCCCCCGACCTGCAGCCCAAACAGCATCTAGATGGTGAGTGTGAAGAACTTCTGGGGCCTTTGTGGGCATCTTATTTGTTTTATCTTGTCGAGCTCTCCCACTCTGTTTGGATTTAAATGTCAAATACAGGAAGTTCCGACCACTCGACTTTAATCACTTTAAATCAGCTCCGAGCAGCATTTGGAGATGTTGCTCCCAGCTGGGAAGTCCTCCACTCACTTCACACATGATGATGAGCCCGTTCTCACTCATGGAGCTTTAAGTATTGCAGTCACTCCTACTCCCACTGTGGGAGTGACGCTCCCGCTCTGATGAAACAATCCTGTCACTCATGGAGTCGTCACGTTTACTGCCAAACAGTGAGAGAAGGAGTGAAAACTGATGCAGTGTTTGTGTCGCAGCCTGAGCACCGAACCACACTGTGTGCAGAGCAACACAACAGTCACCTGCTCACACCAGCAGCTTTTCCTCATCTAAGCCTTTCCTAACATTCACATCAGCGGGAAACCAGCCCGGGATCAAACTACCAACCTCCTGATAGATGACCTGCTCGTGATGCCGAGTTAACTGGAGCAGAAAGGTCATGAAAACACGGCGACGGAAGTTTCACGTCCATGGAGGAAAATGTTGGTGTGGAGTCAGCAACCTTCCAGCTCTCACTGTTGGTTTTATGTTTGCAGTTTTACGCTCTGACCACCGAAACTAAGATGATGTTTCCAACTAAACGACATATTCAGTCACGTTTCAGGACAGGTTAGATTTGTACCTGGGACCACTTACCTGCAGGTCGCACAAGCCTTTAACATCCATTTAACCCCCCCGGATATTAAAGTCGGTCATCAAACAGCTTAAAGTACTAACGACGAGATCTGGACGAGTTGAGGATCAAACAGAGGTCAGAATAACAGATTCTTTATAAAAGCCGGCATTTACGCTTCGCTGCGCCGTAGTCCTGATACAGTCACTATGAGAGCGCTACGGAGGCCAGGGTGAAGACCGTTATTAATATTTATTATCATGAAACCATCAAACGTGATTTAAAATGCAGTTTAGTCATTATGTAATAAAATGTTCAAATCCTTTTCTCAGTCAAACTTCTCTAAAGTTCATTTTGAATGAAAGTTTTGTTCTGCTTTGTTGGTCGGGGCCGAATTCAGCCCAGGTGTCAGGTGAGGGGGAGGAGTCTGTCAGCAGTCCAGAGCCACGATCGGACGACAGGGCGGCAGGTGGGCGGATCCCCCGGAGGACCAAGCGAATCAGGACGTGCTTCCGCAGCGAGCAGCTCAGAGCGTTGGAGTCGTACTTTGCCCAGAAACACAACCCCGACGGTAAAGACTGGACCTGCCTCGCACACAAGACCGGCCTGCCCAAGAGAGTCCTGCAGGTACAAACGTCTGGAAGGACGGGCTCCTTCGAGGCCTCCGTTTAAAATGAAACGCCGCATTCTTATTGGCTCAGCAGTGTAAAAGTCAAAGATCCTCACACGCACAGGGTTGAAGATGAACACTGACTCACACAGTTCTGATAAACGATGAAGCTTTGCACCGTCTTTATTTCTGCTGTAGGTTTGAGCACAGGCTTCTGGAGCGGGCCTCCAGTGGTCATTAGAGGAAGTGCAGGTTTAGTCACTTCCTGTCTGGTTTCACTTCTCAGCCCTGACAGAGCTGTGGGGTTTTCTTCTGCTGCACACACATTTATCTCTTTCTGGTTGTTCTTCAGACCTTTTAGAGACATTTCATAGATTTGTGCCATCTTTGAGTTTTTGCATATTTTCATGCAATTTTCCTCCTTTTTGTTTGTTTGTTGTTATTTTGTGTGTCTGCAGCTGTTCTGTTTGCAGAGATGTAAAACAAGCACGGAGATGCAGATAGACTGTAATCATGTGCAGGTACTCAGCTGTGGTGTGGGAGAGGTGGGATGCTTCCACTCACGTGGGCCCTTTGTCCTGAGATGAATGGAAACGGTGTGGTTTACTGTGGATTGTGGGCTGAGTGACAAACGTCTTCTTGTCCCTCTCGTTGTCCCTCAGGTGTGGTTTCAGAACGCTCGGGCCAAACTCCGCCGTTCCCTTCTCTCCGATGACTCTCAGGTCAACTCGCCCTCTGCTCTTCCGAGAGCTGCCACCATGGCAACCAGTCCCTCATCCCCGACCTGCTCCCCGCCGGACCGATCGCAGCCTTTTCCCACCAGCACCATCGACCAGCTGCAGCTGTCCCTGCTCACCTCCCCGCTCAGCGAGCAGGTCATCAGCCACCCCTCCCAGGAGCTGCTGCAAAGCCCCGACTTCTTCCCGGACTACGACTCCCAGAGCGCACCGGGGTGCATGTCCACCCTGGAGGTCCACGGTGACTTTGGGGAGGCAGGAGGTGGAGAAGTTAGCGCTGATGCTTTTGGTCCACATTACTGTTAGTCAGTGAAAACACAGTAAACACATGTAGACGGAGTTCAAACTGTGACGAGCTGTCGGATTTGTGAGGTTGATAATAAATATATTGTTAAAATCCAGCTTTCATGTTTTTCCTGTGACGTGTCGAGTTGTTTGTCTGTTTAGCATGAACCTAAGAGCTTGTTGAGTTTCATGCTCTGCTCTCACTGACGAGAGGCTCATGGTAGGAACAGGACACCAGCATGAAACATCATAACACGGTGACCTCGCCTGTATGATCTGAAACGGCATATTTCATTCTTACCTTTCGTTGGCATCACATCCTGATCACATTCACTGTTTTTCTAATGAACGATCGACTTCCTCGTGTTCCTCGAACTACTTAACGAGTGCATGTGATGGAAACAGTGACAGACTTTCTTCTTTCAATCATTAAAAGGCCGGAGGTGAAGCATTTTTCTCAGAAATCAATTCTCAGCAGATCTGTGGTCACATAATTGGCAGTAATTTGAGCGCAGCATCATTCGGTCTTAGGTCTGGATCCGTCACAGAGACGATTCCTCATCATGAATGACATTCTTTCAGGTGTGTCTGTGTTTCCCCAGCGAGCTGACATTCATAACGAGCGGCGGTATAAGGAAGGAATCCCTCGCCGTCCTCAGAAATGTCCTAATGAGTCACCCTCAACAATCAAACGGCGATAATTGCCATGACTCGCTGGGCCTCTGTGATGAAGTGGGTCATCGTTTCTCAGAAGAAAGTATGAAGGTTATCGTGGTCGGCGCTCGCCTTCTCATGCGTCACAGGGCCGAGTGACCAATGGGCGACGGCGGGGCGGCAGAGGAGAGCGGGCAGTTTTTAAAAAGGTCAGATGTGGAGATTCTTCGAGGAGATAGAGCAGGTCATTGCACACGGAGCAAGGTAAGAGACGGCTGCAGGTTTCTGCTGTGTGTCTTCTTCGTTGGTGTTTTCAGTGAATTATTTCCAGATTAATTCGAGAAACAGCGTTTCAGTCAGTTTAGAACTTTTCATGCAGGTTACTGAAATATTAGAAATATATCAAAACTATTAAAACCAAAGGTTGGAGTTTATCTCAGACACAAACTGAGCTGTGAGCGAGATCTCTCTCTACTGTGAGCTCACCATGGTATGTTGAAGGCTTTTATTGTGAAAGACAAACAGGAAGAAGCCTTTTTCACATGTGCAAATATAGTTACTTTGTTACTGTACTTAAGTAGAATTTTCAGGTATCTGAACTTTAATTGAGTACTTTTTTTCTGGCTACTTTTTACTTTTACTCCCTACGTTTTTTAAACAAAATGTATTTTCTACTGCTGATGTTTTACGTATCAAACTGAATTGAGCCTAAACAGAAACACATGAGAGGAAATCCTGTTTGTTTGTTAATCACCAGGTAAGATGAGATGAACGAGGAACAGCTGTGGGCCACAGTCAGGGGTTAAAGTTTTTATTTATCCATATTTAACCACTGCTGGTACTTCAGCATCCAGCTCGCTCTACAGAAGAGGAGCGAGCGTGAAGGGAGTGACGTTTTTAAAGTGTCAGGTAATTTGAAAGGCAGCGTTTCTATGAGCTCAACAAACATCAGCAAACACACAGTTTGCTGATGTTTGTCTCACAGTGTGCTGCAGCTGCTTATTTCAGGGGGAGAAAAGACAGGGAGCTCAGAGTTAAAGGAAGGATGCTCATGTTGCTAAATCTGTGTGACATGGTGTTTTTCACAGGGTGAAAGCTGCTGCTGAACAAACTGAGTCACTTAAAACTGCAGGGTTAGTTTGCTGCACTGTGGTGGAGGTCACAGGCGGGGTCGGCGTCTACCATGTAAAACAGCTGCTGTTTTATCTTTTTCTCTGCTCGTGTTCTTTCATTACAATTAAAATTTAAACTGATTTAAAGGTTTTATTTCTACTGATATTGTTTTTTTTACTTGAATACTGCAGTATAATCAGTACTTTGACTTATACTGCAGTATTTTTAACACTGGTATCTGTACTTCTACTTAAGTACTGAATATGTGTCTGCTGAAAAAGTAAAACTCGTCAGCTTGAAGAAGTTTCTCTAAACGTTGTTTATCTCCGTACAAATACTCATTATTCTATCTGGTTACTGACAGCACTTCCTGTTTACTGGGCGGAGGCGGATTCAGGGTTTGTGTGTGTGATGAGACAAACTCAATAATAATGTTCACAGTTTTTTTCTTTTGGTTTTTACTTCAAATGCAGTATTTTTACCCTTTGTTTAATAATATTTCAGTTCCTCTCTCGACCGTTATCATCAGCTGATCAAAGCTAATAAACACAATAACCTGCTGATAAAAGTCTGTTTCTGTTTCCAGATGAGACTTTCTTTTCATCCTGGTGCCTCGCAGCTCGCCCTCCTCTCCTTCGCCCTCCTCTCCTCCATCCCACACCCCGTCACATCATACCCTTATCCTCCCACCGCCCTCCTGCCCACAGTGGGTGGATCTGAGCTGGAGTCCACCCTGCTGCACCTCCAGGCTGCTCTGGAAGAGCCGGGGGACGTCCGGAGTGAAGCCTGGGCCGAGTGGCCTCGAGACATCCAGCCAGGTAAGGAGAGTGAGGAGGATGACCAGTCGTGGGAAGAAGCAGCTCTGCTGCAGGCCCAGAGAGGAGACCTGATGGCCCAGCCGTTGTCGCCCTTCCCTGGGGGTCACTCTCTGGAGAGAATGCACTACCAGGAGGGGGGAGAGGGGGAGGACGGGTGGAAGAGGAACGATGCTCTGACCTCCATTGCGGGAGGACTCCAAGCTGTCAGCCGTGAGAAGGGAGGGTTTGGTTTCCGCTTTGGGAGGAAAAGATGGACAGACGGGGAGTGGATGGAAGGAGGAGAGGGAGAACAGAGGAGGACAAGCGGAAGTGACGAGGACGGAGTCAACAGGGACAAGAGACGAGAGCGATGAAAGAAAGAAAGGCTGACACGCTTCAGAGGGGACTGCCAGATTACAGCACACATCATGAACTCTGTAAATGTGACACCTTTTAATTTCATTTTCAGAACAACATGGCACAAAAGTAAACACATAAACGTGGTAACCTGAGAAACGAGATTTTATCCTATGCTCTTGTTCTCCTTCTGAAACAATATGAAGGCTCATGTTACAGGATGTACAGAACAAGCGCGCAGCTCGTCGTGTCTAATCTGAAAGTGTAATATAAGCATGTGCACGGAGCTTCTGTCAGTGTGTGTGTTTGTTGGCTTGAACATGACTCATGAATAAAGAGCTGGGAGGTGCAGCTCTCGGCACAGCTGCAAAGGCTGGACGTTGTCTTGTTTTCACTCTATACTCTTCAGAAGCACCTTTACCTCAGGAACAACTGCACCAGCTCCTCCTGGGAGCAAAAAGGAAACAGCACCACAGAGTCCTCCTGCTCCAGCCACTCCCTCCAGGTGACATCACCTGCGCTTCATCTCCCGACGTCACATTTTCAGCTCCCTCCTCTGCTCTGACAGAACTGCATGTTTGTCCCTTATTGACTCGTTTTTATCTTTATGTGATGACGTATGAATCCTGCCTCCAGGTACAAACTACCCTCTGTTTATTAAGGCTGTTGTGTTTTTAACTTGTTTTAATGTTTTGTATCTTGTTCTATTTAATCTGAACAAGCCCCTAAAAACAGTCAGTGATCCCTGTCGGCCTCTCACGGTTTTTATCATCACTGTTCACTTTAAAGCTCAGTTTTTAAAACCTTACGATGTAGCTGCAGCCCAGCAGCAGTATATAATGACTAACCTCGTATTGTGGATGGATTATCTCAGTTGTTCTCCTGGCTGAAGTTTGGTCCGTTTACAGCATCCTGCCATGCGATTGCATTTGTCTCTAACCATCAGGAACCTTAGTTAACTTTTATCAGTGGAAAAAAGTTAGCGTTCATCCTCCAGCTTCACTGTTGTCTATGCTAACATAGCTGTGTGTCGCAACTCTACATGCAGCGGTCCCCAACCCCCGGGCCTTGGACCGGTACCGGTCCGTGAGTCGTTTGGTACCGGGCCGGAGAGTTGAGGCTCAGGTGTGAAATGTTGGTTTTCAGGGTTTTATCGGTTTTCAGCGTTATTTTGTTATCGTTTTTATCGTTACTCGGTTTTCCTGGGTCTTTTCACGTGTGTTATGAATAAATCTTCTTTTTTCGGTACCGGTACTAGTTTTATTTTGTTGTATTTATCCGCGACACTTAAAGGCCGGTCCGTGAAAATATTGTCGGGCATAAACCGGTCCGTGGCGCAAAAAAGGTTGGAGCGCACGTAGCACATCATTATATACAGCTAGCCCAACTTCAGTAACCCTACAAACGTCACTGCTGTTTAGTTTCTGTCTTCATTTATGTTGGAAGTGATAGCAGAGCTGTACGTTTGATTTTTTTCAGAAATCTCTCAGTCAGAACATGCTATATCATGTTAGGTAACTAGCGAACTAACTTCCTGCTAACTTCTAACGTTAAATGTAATAATTCTGTTTTCATGGATGCCTGGATGTTAAACTTCATGTTACACCTGGTAAAGCAGCAACGCTGATCATTTTATTAAAGATGGAAGAATTTAGACAGTTTTTAACTCTCAGTGATGCTGCAGCGTTCGTTTGACTTTAGGACCTGAAGCTGAGTTTGGACCTGGGAATAGCTAGTGACGTCAGACTCAAAGACCGGATACTGAGCCCAACATGGGGGCACAACACCATGTTACCCTGGTAACCGAGTACAGGCGTCCAGTTCAGCCTCCACATTAAGGTGGTGTGAAAGCTCAGCGGGGCAAAGTACTGATCAATTTTCTGTCAGTGTGTCAAAGATGGCAGACTGTGAGGATAGTGAGGGGACGGGTAATCAGGGAAGTGGAAACAGGAGGGTTATAGGACAAAGCTGTAGGCAATCAGGACAATCAGAGAAGGAAGTAAAACAGACGCAGAGTGCCAAACAAACACTGGGAAACTGAATGAGGATCAACTTAGAGGAGAGAATATAACTACAAATATGACTACAGAAAGAAAGACTCACAACACCAAAGTATGAATGAAAATCAGCCACTAACAACAAAACTAAGAACAAAAGGAACACGAGCCCATAAACACTGAAGCCGTGGGCCCTCAAACACCAGTCCCTGTGTTTGAGGGCCCACGGCTCCTTAATGTAACCGCCGTCAGTCGCTGGGCCATTTTTAAGCTGCACGTTCTACTTTTGCTTCTTCTAAAATATTAGTTTCACTTACATGCTTGTGAGTACAGACTGTAAATGAGGCCGATGATTTTACAGTACGCTGCCCTTTCATACGTGACGACTACAACCACACAGAGACACGCAATAACACACGTTTGCATCAAAAAAAGGTCAAACCTATAAAAAGAGACGCATCTGCAGACTGTGGCTACATTTCTTATCACACAAGCTCTGATCCACGACATTCACATGTGGGATCAATGTGCTGGTTTTTACTTTATAACAAGTCTGGTATACAATAATTCAAACAACAAAGATGAAACTGCAGACTGTAACATTTGAGACTTTTTTTATTTGCTTTTTGCAAAACGAGTCAGAAATCAGAGACGTCTGAAAGTTGGAAACAACAAATCAGCAGAGTTACAATAAAGACTCCATGAGACACTGCAAGAGTTCATATATTCACACATAGAAACTAAAGTAAAATCTAAATTTAAAGTTAAAACAGACACAAGTAAGACAGATGTTGTGCAAGAGAGAACTGCAAAATGCATCCATAAATATTAAGTTCAATGAATGACTGCAAACACAGCCAGCTCTGACTTAAAAAAAGATTTATTATCACTTTAAGTCTTTATTCTAAAAAATATTTTCCAAAATAACTCCGTGTGTAAAATATCTGTACTAGGGTAAAAAGCAACGACTAGAATGAAGTAGTGTCAAAGAAACGCGCCATTAAAATACCTCAGAAGATGTTCTGGACAGAAACTCGTCGATTTCACTTTATTAGTTATAGAGAATAAAAATACAGAAGCATTAAAACTCTGTAACATTTGTTTTATGCTTCCTAAAATATATCTAAATATTTAACAATGGAACAAAAACACAACAGTAAAGTTATGTTTGTTTATTCATCATCACCTTTATTTATAAAGCACTTTAAAACAACCACAGCAGAATAACGAGTGACCTGCACACAGAACAAAAGTTGGTTCCAGAAATATTAACGTTCATTACAATTTTCAAATTAAAAGCTTTAAATGTTAAACACCTGTCAGTCCTGCTTTTATTGACCTCATCATTATTCATCATCACACAGTGAAAACACAAAGTCACAGAGTCATACAGCAGATATTCCACCCATTTATTAAAACATGAAATCAGTGTCATAGTTGTGTTTCCTGTACTCTAACTGCTCACCCTCATGATGGCGTGACGGTTAGCGTTAATGATACCACAGTGACGGTCTGTGTGTTAGAAACAAAGATGATTAAACTCAGTACCTGTGCCGTCTTTAGTTACCAGTTTAGAAAATACTGGCGGCAACGTCCTACATCACCTCGTTCTCGAGTTCTCGCAGCCACAAGTGTGCGCACACCTCGCCCACCCAACCGTGTGACGACACCGCGTCATCAGAATTTTACCGCTGTGGGTCAAAATGTGTAAACTTAAAGCACATATATTTTGTAGCATCATGTCAGACCAAACATGTTCTCAGGCTCTGAGCTGCTTTAAAAAACACTGACGTGCGACTTAAACTCTGATACTGCCCTGAGACGTGACGCGCACCGCAGCTTTAAAAACATCCATCCATCCGCTTCAGGGTCGCTGGAGCCTCAGCTGCCATAGAGCGAAAGGCGGGGTAAACCCTGGACAGGTCACCAGTCTGTGGCAAGGCTGACACACAGAGACACACAACCATTCACACCTATGTGCAATTTAGGTTAATCAATTAAGCTATCCTTACAAACTGCATGTCCTTGGACCGTGGAGAAACCCACACAAACACAGGGAGAACATGCAAACTTCATACAGAAACACTGCCTGAATTGAACTCAGGACCATTTTGTTGTGAGGCAACAGTGCCAACCACAACGCCAAACACAACGCCAAACACAACGCCAAACACAACGCCAAACACAACGCCACCGTGCCGCCAGCTTCAAAAACACACAAAACACAACAAAAGCAGAAAAATGCAGAAAAATCGCATTGAGGCTGTTGCTGTGATTTGGTGCCATATAAATAAAAATGAATTGAGTTGTATGACCTGCTCTGCCCCCCAACAGCAAACATGTGTTACAGGAATCATGTGATTAAAACACACATTATTATTACATTATTTTCACAGATTAACCCTTAAAGCTTTCTTTAAGCGTGTTTCAGTTCAACTCTTCACATCTTTTGGTTTCTGTCACTTCCTCAGCCGGTCCGTCACATTATTGCGTCCCCAGAAACACTGTAGTTGTGCTTTGTCTGCTTCTGCTGTGTTTTCTGTTTGCTTTTTTTGTTGTTGTTGTTGTTGAAGTTGGACCTCTCAGGGCCACCGTAGATTTGGCTGCAAGGGGCATTAACAATTCTTTAAACCCATCCATTGAATTAAATGGAATCCCATTTAATGCTGATCCACCTGTAAAGTGCAACAAATGTTTGTGTTGTTTCAGTAAATCTGGTCCCACCGAGTCTCGATGTGCTTCTGTGGAAGCTCTGATCTCCATCTGCAGGGATGAACGCAGCAGCATCATTTTACATGCTCAGTTACTCATAACCAGAAAACCCCATTGATACAAACTTTAGCTCAATTTGAGCAGTGATGCGTCTCAGAGTCGGTTTGAGGTAAACAAAAAAAGGAAGTTTGAGTTAAAAGAAACAGCTGGAGGAACAGTTTGAAACTCATCAGGTTAACTGGTCAGTGACATGAGCCAGCGTTCTCCTCCTCCTTTACAGGAGAGGTGAAGAAGAGCAGGGTGGAGTGGGTGGAGAAGAGTGTCACAGTGATGGCAGCACGAAGTTTAAAGACGGTGGTGAGACCTGCCACACCTCCAGGGGCATCAGTGCCTCTGGGTGTGGCAGCTGGCACATCTGGAAAAGCTCCATCAGTGCTGACAGGTAGGTAGCAGTTGGAGCATCCACCCAGACGATGTTTTCATGTTTCAGCAGGACGATGCTAAACTGCAGACTGCATCTACTCTTAGGAGAAAGTCCACCTGCAGTCCAGACCTCTGACCAGCTGTGAACATCTGGAACATCATGCAAGCAACAACAGCAGGAAGCAGAGTCAGGACAGCTGCTGTCCTCAGCTCAGAGGAGGCGACAGAGACGGTGATGGTGCTGTTACTCACTCTGAGCCTCATTCACTAACATGTGCACATGAAACATAAATACACTGTGCAGAAAACAAGCACACACAAAACTCCGTGAAACATGCACACCGCCTCATTGTGTGCTTCATCTTATGAGCCTTCACTGTGACTCGTGCACGTTCGAAGGCAGTTACACATCTGAGGGCAGAGAATCGACACGTGTAGGTAATAAAACATCTGAGCGTGCGTGCACACTACAGATTAATACAGGCTGTTAGTGAAGGAGGCCCGACCTAATGTGACTCAGTGCAGAACGATGAGAGAGAAACTCACTGTTACTCCTGACGAACATCGTTCAACTCCTGCGACTCTGGTGTATCTGCGCTGCTCCTGCCTGCGAGCACAGACAGACAGCAAGCATTAAAACTCATCTGCTGTGTTTCTGCATGCATGCAGAGAAACACACACACACAGAGTGGGTAAGTCAGATGCTTTTGTTTGATGGTCTGACACACGGGCTGTTCGTTCTTACCATTATTGCGTCTTTTACGTAGGACCAGCAGAATCACGCCTACACCGATGAGCATGAGCAGGAGTGCTGCCACCAGACCAGTGACGGCAGATCCATCGCCATCAGGAACAGGTAACAGGTTGAGATCTAAACACACAAAACAAGAACATTACTTCACCTTTGGTTCATTTTCAGTTGTGCTGCTGTGAAAATCAGCTGTGCAGGTGAGGAACATGTGACCCTTAAAGCTGAACACAGCAGCTTCTAAACAGACTAGCAGCACTGCTCTCTTTGCTGATGGCTACACTGAGGGAAACAGCGCCCCCTGTGGATGTCAGGTAGCACACGGTATTACACTGCTGTGTTACTGATGCATAAACTGACCAATCAGATGACTGGACAGGAAGAAACCTACACAGTGAACAGCAGAGTCTGTTTGTGTCTCCAGTTAAAAGAACATTTTTACAACCATGACAGTTTCTTACCCCAGCTCTTAGAAATTCCCACACCGGTCGCTTTGTGAAAGACGTCGCAGCTGTATGTAGCCGGGTCAGACTTTAAAACCTCCACGTACTCTCTCCTCTGGAACGTGTCGTCGTTATTGGGGAGAAGTCCTGAGCTCTTCAGGCCGTCGTCTGCGGTCAGAACACGTTCGTTCCTCCTGATCGTCACTGTGACGTCTTTGGGGTAGAAGCCCGTGGCGAGGCAGGTGAGGACGATGTTTGTCTGCACTCTGGAGTTCTTTGCAAACACGTGCAGATCAGGTGGAGCTGGATGGAGGAAATGGAAAGTGATAAGTGCGTGTGTGTTGCTGTTTGGTTTGATGTTTATGTGGCGTCTGGCACACTGTGTGAGACGAGGCAGACGTGGTGAGGCTCTAGTTTGATGGTTTTTGTGTGTTTTGGTTCAATTTGTCTCAAAGGTGCGTGAAAGAGACT